ACTAAAACAGAAACAAAAACCAAACCAACTTTCCCTCAAAGCTCCGACCATACTGCAGTCCTCTTGAGAATGTTAAGTGCCCTGGTGGATTATCACATGACACGCACATTTGCTGGGTAAACATTCCTTTGTCCCACAGGTGGGAAAGTAGCGAGTCTTTATAAACAAATTATCCAGGAAAAATTGTGTTCCATGTGTTGTGAGAAAATACTCTTTCTTTTTTCTCTAATGCTGAACCCTTATAATCCTGTTTATTTTACCCCCATTGACTAGCTGGTAAAGAATGTGGACATGGGGCAGGGCGTGGGCAAAACTGTTCAGTGTATAGCAATGTATGACACAGAATTTTTAAATTAGGTAGCAAAGTTCCTTTTCACACTTAAAAGCTGAAGACTTAAACATCACGCAAATAACAAATTATGAAGACTGTGAGCATACCAAAATAAAATTTGGTGCCAGATCAAATAAATAGATGATGATAACTTAAAACTTACTTTTATAAGTAGCGTGGGGATATTGAGATATATATTAACTTGTCCACAATTGCAAAAATTTGTTATGATGACTTTTAAACAAAGTCAAGCATTTCTGGGGGAGAAAGTAGAAAGGATTCTCTTGCAGAAAGGAGGGGGGCGGTGCTTTTCTTCTTGAAGCAGGGGAGCGGGGACCTTCTGGCTCCTCTCTTGACGTCCGGGATGTGACATCGTTGTGTCTAGGTCATTCACGCAGTGGTTTTGGGGTGTGGAAAGTGGCTCCGTTCCCTTCCATCTATTAAAGTTCTCTGATTCCATACTCAACAGCACTTGTGCCTAAATGTTTAAATTCTCCCGATGGAAAGGCACAGTTGTCACAAAGATACAAGTGAGAGAAACTCCTGATCTGCTAGATGTCTGGTACAAGTTCCTGTTCTCTAAAATCAAAGAATGAACTTTAGGAACAACGGAGGTTAAGAGCATAATATATTTATTGAGAGGAAGAAAGCTTCTGTCTGGGAGAGACCGAAGGGGTCCCAAGTGGGTTGCCAAAGACCCCACTTTTTCGAGTAACTTTTATAGAGCACGAGGTGAAGTGGGTCCAAGGTGGGGAGAACTGGGAGCTCGCATGGCAGATGGACATGAGGTGGGACAGACCAATAAGGACACCCCATGGGGTGTGGTCAACCAATAAGATTACGAGTGTAGCTGTTCAGGTAAAATCGATTAAGTTGGGATCAAATGGGGAGGACAGTCACATAGCAAACAGCTGTGAATACAGAATACAGACTTTAGGGGCTGGGGATTTAGCTCAGCGGCATAAGCCCCTGCCTTGCAAGTGTGCGGTTGTGAGTTCAACCCCTGGTACCAATAAAAATGACAAAAACAAAAAAAGTAGAGAATACAGACCTTGCTGGTCAGGGGCTGGGTTAATGGCTCCTTCTGGCTTCCTCAAGGTGATGGATGCCTATGTAGATTACCAGTCCCTGATGTTTATTTTTAGGGTGGGGTGCATTTGTTTTGGCTTTTTTCTTGAGGTCTGGCCCACAGCAGAGGAGTCTCCTCCAAGGCTGCAAGGTATCTGGCCTTCTGCACTGGCTCCTTCCGGGCCCAGCCCTGTCTGACTGCCCAGAATATTTCTCTCAAGCTCAGCTGCCTGTGACAAGAGCCAGAAAGCCCTGGTTAGTAAGCCCACCTGGCACGTCAGCGGAACTTGTTCTGTGGGCTCCTTACCAGCTTTTTCAGTCCCAACACTGTCCGACTTCCTTTATCTCCCGCTGATGCTGCTCCAGCCCCCTTTTGTCACAGAGCTGTTCCTCACTGAGAAATCCTGTTACCGGCTGCACCCATCAGGACGTTTCCATAAGAGCTTGGGAAGTTTTCCAAGCAGAGGGTGTTGATGCCATTTATGTCTTTTCGGTGGTGTGAAATTCTGTCCACCCCAGCAGTCACACTGGGAAATGCTGTGTAAGGCCCGTCCTAAATAACTGCCTGGCACAGTGGGACACTTGGGGAAAATAATTCTTCTTGTTAATTTCCACAAAAACAGAAAAAGGTGTCCTGGACCAGCCGTCCTGCCCTTGACTGATCTTTTGACCCCCAAAGACCCTTTCAACTCCACAGAATTCTCTTTCAGGAGCAGGCAGAGTGATCACGGATGTCTCTCATAAAATGCACTTCATGCTTTTCCTGTGTCAGCAGCTCTTAGATTACACACCAGCTGGCACCTGGCTGTCAGCAGGTCCTGCGGGTCATAATTTCCTAGTGTTGGAGTTCATGTGATAGCCTGCTCTCAAATGGCTTTACTCGAGACGATCTTATTTTGCCCCTGGTTGCCTCCCAAGGTTATCTCCTGATAACACATCCATCTCGTTTTTTACAGCCTTCAGCTCATAGCTTGAGGTGCGCATTAAAACTGTGAGACAGAAAACTGGGAAAAAAAATATGTGGAGTTCGCAGCCCTCCTTTCATATGAACATAATAGGAGGAAATCGCCCGCAAGGCTGCTTTATCCTGTGTTCTCTCACTGTGTCACTCACATTCAGCTGCGTTGGAGGAGGCTAAACGGTGACCGTGTTTCTCTGGGTGCTCGGCCGTGGTCTCCGAGGCACAGAGCAATCATTCTCTGCTGAGAGACCGTTTCTCTAGCTAATGCCCTACCTGGCCACTCATTTGACAATTTCACAGGCAGGACACGTGAGGAAGGACAGTCTTATTATGCATATATGTGAGGACACACACACACACGTAACATACTTAGACATATTAAAAACGTCTAAGCACTTTTCTCCTTTTACGGAATCACTGCAACCCATTCACAGTATGTAAATTTCACAACGGATACCACTGAGGATTCAGAAGGTTCCATGCGTTACCCAGAGCTGTGGAACTATGTCCTTTAGAATCTTGTTTAAAACAGTGATTCTGTTCCCCCCTTCACAACATCGCTGCTCTTCTCGGCATTAGGGTAACTTCAGCGTTTTAAAATAGAAGCTTTAAATGACAGACAGTCATGGAAATTCGTCAGTGCACTGGGAATGCAACTACCAGTCAGAGTGCGGGTAAGAATTTGCAGAGCGTTTGCCAGAATACAGTGTGGGGAGAGGAGGGCATGAGAGGGGCCTGGGGCGTGAGAGAGGAGGCGCGGTGTACTGGGGGGCCAGGCTGGGGTGCACTGTCACCCACAGGGTGTGCAGTGGGAGGCGGCAGGCGGCCTAGGAAGCTGCTGGGGGAGAGAGCAGGACAGCTCCGGAGACCGGCTCGCCAGCCTCCCTTGCTGTGGTTACAGGAAGCTACTTTTCACTATTTTCTCAATGAACAATTCATACCCATAATGCTGAGCGTCTTGCACAATCCAAACCTAACCACCTCACCCAAGCCCCGGCCTTCCTTTATTCTCCTTCATTTTTGTTTAAACAGTGGACTGGTCAGGAGAGACACCTTTCACACCAAAATGATAAAATATCCACTTAAAAGTAACCTTTTTCTCTATTTGCCCCTACAGATTATAGGCACTCTGCTGGTGGCTGTTGAAGATGTTTTGAGTGTGCTGACTTTGCTTATGGCCATTCCTTGCTCAGGCAACAGTTGAGCCACGATTTTAAGATGAATTTCCAACACTTAGAGTTTTAGATTAAAAAAAAAATCTAACAATCGCAAGTTAGTTTCTAGGATTTCCTGTTTCCTTTTCATAGAGACACGCTGATGGTCTGAGTGAAGCATAAGCCTTCAGAACAAGAATAAGATAAAAGTGTTCATTTACCTTCATTTACCTCCTCTAATAGAGGAGCAAAAAATTTTAGCATTCAGTCACAAGACTGTGCATGAACAAATAGATTTCATAAATAGAAAATGATTAAATAGTGTACTTAGCTGTGAATGGATAAGTACTTAATGAAGTGTTTTATCCTAAGCATACTCTTTGAGGATAAACACTGGTTATCACAGTAAGTGTTGATCAAAATTTTGTTCATATTAGGTGTTGGGCTGGGGTTTGTTTGTTTTTTGCTTCTTATTCAAATTCTGTATGTGCCCCCTCCCCACCTTTTTGCTGGTTTCAAAATCATTCTTTTGTTTCTAATGTTGATTTTTTTCTTCTTTTTGAGGTTGGTTATGCATTTATAATATTTATAAAATTGTAACTGATATATTAAAATATTCTACATACTAACTGAGTGCCATACCAAGTTTCTGCCCAGGTGTGCATTATCTAATGCTTAAGTCAGATAAAACATTTCTGTCCTCCCAAACATTCATCACTTATTTACAGTGAAAGCATTCAGAATTCTGCCTCGTAGCTTTCCCAAGTACATAGTTGTTATCTGTGGTCGTCCTACTGGGCACTGGTACATGGACTTCTGAGCTCCAATTGATGGAGCACCCAACCCTCAGCCTTCCTCATCCCTTCTCCCCGATCCTCCTGTTCTCTGTGACTGTCAGTCCACCTGCAATTTCTATGGGATCAACTCTTTTAGATTTCACATATGTATGAGATCGTGCAGTGCTCGTTTTTCTGTGCCTGGTTTATTTCACAATGATCCTCTGTTCAAAAAAATTGTTACACAGTGATCTTCAGATCATTATAACACAACGATCTTCAGCTTTAAAGAAATGTTCATTGCTGGGCATGGTGGCACCCTCCTGTAATCCCAGCACTCAAGAGGCTGGGGCAGGAGGATCATGGCGAGTTCAAGACCAGCCTGGGCTACAAAGTGAGCTCAAGGCCAGCCTGAACTGTACCCTGTCTCCAAAAGACAAAAAACAAAGTTCATAGGATACCTACTGTGCTAAGCATTTTCTAGAGTGTTGGTAGGAGCCAGAGCCAGCTTAGTGTATACATAGATGTCCCCTCAAAGCCTCATGTGATTTGAGGCGTGGCTGTAAGGAGGTATCAGGATCGCAGGGTGCTCTACCCTTCAGTGGATCAGTCCACTGGCGAGTTTACAGTTGAATGTGCTGTTAGAAGGTTGGGCCTCACAGAAGAGGTCACGAGGGGCCTGGCCTGAGAGGTTTTCTCTTCCTCCACAGCACCCTCCCCCTCTGCTTCCTGGTCTCCATGATGTGAGTACCTTTTCCTCCACCATGCTCCTTGGCCCCACCATCCCACCTTGAAGCCGGCCAACTGCGGACCAAAACTGTGAGCCAAAACAAATCTTTTCTACTTTACATTGCGGATGTATCGGCAACAAAGAAAGTGACTAAGATAGCCTTGCTCAAAATAGCGACTGTAATAAACTCCTGTGGGGTCTGAAATAAGACATAGCAAGGCTGCTAGGGATGGTGAGAGCTGGGAGACCAGGCCTCGGGAGTCTGTGTGCACTGTGGGCACTCTGCTGCTGCAGACAGAGCAAGCTGGTCTCACAGGAGGGCAGGAGACAGAACGAGAGAGGCCACACATCTCCTGAGGGGGAAACAGACATAAAAACAGAACTCTTCCTAATGTCTCCCGAGCGCCAGGTCCCAAGAGTCTCATACATAACCCGGAGCCTGTACTTAGATTTCCACATGATCTCGCTACTTGTCTTGACAATAACTTTCTTGTTAAGTGCTTTTCAGTGCTTCTCTGTTCCCCGTCAGCAAAACGTCTCTGCCTAAGGTGGCGGCTATGGTCTGAGCTCTGAAAGATCGTGCAAGAGTCCGAAGATGACTTAGGGACGGTTCTTGCTCCTAAAATTCTTGGAGTGAGGTGGAAAGCATAGGGCAAGGTGGAAAACACTTCAAAAATAATACAGGGCAGACCGTGTAAAAGACTGTAAGGAATAATAAAAGGAAAATAAAAGAATGTCTTGTTCAGATTGGATACATCTGAGATTTTCTAAATAAGGTAAACTTTTCACTGGACATTAAACAATATTAGGGTTTCAAAAGTAAGGACAAGTGGGGAATCATGTCCTAATGCAAAGAAAAAGTATCAGCAAACACAATGGCAGAAAAAGGCAACTCTCTAAAGAACAATTGTTCTGAAATGATTTTATTGTGCAGTACATGTAAGTGGGAACATTTAAGAGGAGACAGAATAAGTATAATTATGGCACAGGGCATGGAACATAGAACTTTTGTGTAGCCTTATGGAGAAGCTTTGGGTTTTTGTTTTTTTGTTTTTTCTCTTTCTTTCTTGGTTTCTTTGTTTTTCTTTGTTTCTTTCATTGCTGGGGATCAAACCCAGGGCCTTTAAGGACGAGGCAAGCACTCTACCACGAAGCTACATCTCTAGCCTCATAGAGATCTTTAATTTCAGGAATTATTTTTTAATGTGAGCCTGTAATAAAATTCAGTATCTAGTTTTCACCAGAAGTAGAGAAAGTCAAAGTAAGACAGCAGTAAAAAAAGGCTAATTATTAGAGGCTTGATCATAGACAGCTGCAAAAGGCCTCCAAGAGATTTTTCTGGATTAAAAACTGGAGCAAGAGTCAAGAGAATCAGTTTACTAGCAAACTAGTTCCAAGGTGGCACTGGACAAGGCTGATGACGGAATCCTCGGAAGAGATGGTCCAGGAGGAGGGAAGGAGATGGAGTGCAGAGTTTAAAGCATGTGAAAAAGCAGAAATTTGGGAACGGCAAGAAAGAGTGAACGGAATTGATCTCCAGGTTCCAAAGGAACACGGTTATAAAATACCTGGAACAAGGGATCTGCCTTTGTGGTAAAGGAAGAATTTCTTCAGGTCACAGAAATGGCCAGCATATGAAGGTGACCCAGTACGCTCTTGAAGGTTAGACCGGTATCTGGGGCACTCCGTGGACGCTTCCTTGGGTCTCAGCTTTGTTTAGATACCCTAGGAAAGAAAATTCCTTCCTGACCTAACCCCTGTGAAGGATATCAAGCCCAACCAAAGTAAATCTCAGAGGTCTATGTTTCTGAAAAAGAATTAGTGCCTTTGAAAGTGAAAAGTGTTATTCTTTTTCCCCTTAATAGACCATGATAAATTTATAAATGGATGTCAAGTGCTCCAGCAGTCTAGGGTTTAAAATATCAATCTATGGACCGTATAATTTATGGAGCACTTGCTGCAAATCACTTGACCCATTTCTGCCTTTTCCAAGAGACTTAAATAATTACTTGGTGCGTGGCGGTGCTTAAAGCACTCAGAAATTATTCAACAAAGTGTGTTTATATGCTGTAGGCCAGGAGGGAGTCAAGTGTTGATACGAGAGACAGTCATTAAAAGAAGATATTCCTCTATGGCCTCTAAATTCATGGTTTTCTCCTCCTGGGACATAACAGTAATTTCTCATAAAAGTAACCTCAAGTATGAGCTGACTCATTGTGTTCTCTCTTGGGTGCAAAACAAAAAAGACTGCACTATGTTATTCTGGTATTTCATGTTATTTGGAAAATTGTCTAATACTTGCAAAAGTTAAAATATTACATGATATAAACAATTAAGAGCTCTATGAGCCAGGAAAATGATGAACACGTCAAATATTCTAGATGTTTCCAATCAAAATAATGTATCAAAATATAAAAAGCAACCTTATCACTAATAAAATTAGGGAAGGGGCAAATCTTTTATCATAGACTATGAAAACCATCTGCCAGCCAGTACTGATTTCCTTATCTGAATACACATTTCACAAAGAATCTTAAACTAGAAGGGTCTGAAGGGCTGGCTGGCAGTATTTTGTTCAGAAGACAGAAATGAAAGAGAAATACTATGCACATCGCGCCATGCAAATGACTTGCTATAACGGAGAAGGTGCCAGCTTTGTAACCAGAGCCAAGGTTAACCTCCCTTTTTTGAGCAGCAGAGGCATTGAGAAATCACATAATCTCTCAAGTCTCCATTTCTGTTTTTGTAAAGTAGAAATCAGACACACATATCCTTTCACCAGGTTGTTTTAATGATTATATAACATCGACAAGGCTGGAAATTTAGCACAGTGTGAGCACTGTAAATATTAGTCCCATACTCTTTCCATGCACTGCATCACCCTGCCAGGATCCAGCCCACAGCAATCATGCTGCAGAACCAGGTAATCTGAGCTACGGGAACTCAACTCAAGAGTCACATTCTCTACAAGGCTTCTTTTAAATCTGTGGTGTGCAAAATACAGCTTCAGTTAGAAACAAAAGGCTCAATAGGAAAGTAGGGGTTATTTTAGATAACAATGAGTTGACATTCTCAATAATTCAAGAGTCAGGGAAAGTGACAGTTTTCTATTGCTGTTATTTATTTAAAATATAAGCCATAGTTATAACTTAGAAACAATCACAACTGACCTGTCTTTCTAGGTTCTATAGAAGCCTACCGTTACAGTTTAGATCTAGGATGTTTCCCAGCAGTCTTCTGGGCTTAGGAGGAGGCCTCTGGAATATGATTGGATTGAGGAGGCCCCGCCCTCCTCCATAAACCAATCCTCCACCCCCACCCCGTGTGCTCATAGCCCAGTGTGCTGTTAGAAAGTACAGCCTGGTTGGAGGGCAGGTCACTGGGGGCGTGGCCTGTGTGGTGCTCCACCTCCCTGGCTCCTCCCCTCCCGCTGCTTCCTGACTGCCCAGGCTTGAGCTCCTCTTACTCAACCAGGGCCCGGCACTATCTTTATTTCTCCATGAAGTCAGGCGACTGCAGATGGAAACCACAGACCAAAGTAAACTTCTGTTCCTTTAAATTGTTAGGTGTTTTTTTTTCAGCAACGAGAAAGTGACTGACAAGAAATGTGTAAATTATTCTCCAACGATTTTGAGAAATCTCATCCATATTTACCCAACGTAACACGACTTGGGAGCCATGTATGTGCCTGTTCGCATCACAAGACAAATAAGCATTATGAAAGAGAGCAATGCCACAACCTAAGAGGTGAGCTACAGGAGTACACACACCTAGAAATTTCTGCAGACCAATCTGAAGATGTCATTTCTCCCTGAGGCGGTGTTAGGGTTTGTGTCTAGACGCCCCCCACATCCTCATGTGGTAGTAGGACTCTTTTTTGGAGGTGTCTGACTCTGTGTGATTGCAGTGTAATGCCGGGACTCAGGGTGCTGGGGTTCAGGGTGGGTGAGTGCTGGGCCAGTCCACTGAGTGGATCGGCACTGCCCAGATCCCAGTGGTCTGGATGCTCTAAGGGACAGAAGGAGGCCTGTCTTGCTAGTTCTCTCATGGCTTCCACCACCATGAACTGTTGCCTCTCTGCCGTGTGCTGCCCTGCCTTGAATCCAGCCGACAGTGGACTGAAACTTCCACAAACCGTGAACTAAATAAACCTTTTGTCCTCTAAGCTAGGTTGTTGGGTCTTTTGTCTCAGCCAGAGAAAACTGGCTAAGACATAGGGTCAATTTTAAAAGCTATATGATTTTCACCAGCCTCCACTGTGTGTGGGACACAGATCACAGACTGTCGGTGCTATAAGCACCCGTCTAAAGGCCTTCACGACACAGAAATTCTGACTCTCACAGCCCGTATCTGACTTTGATTCTCTAAAACAGAGGAGCTTGCAGGACCCTGCAGTGAAGGGGGAAAGTGTTTTCCTTTTTCAGAGAAGAAAGTAACTCTTGTTCTGTTCATCCCATCTGCGTGTATTAAAACATTTTTGAAAAAATGCAGAGCCAGGGATTAGTCATGTTCTAAAGAACACAAGCAGAAACAACATGAAGAGTACAGAAACACATCCAAATAAGTGTGTGTGTACAAAGTAAGTAAATTGCAGCTGACTGCAATAATGGAGCTACCCCTGGGGAGACAAATGGGTTCACCGTTTGACTAGCATCAATCACCACTGCCCCATTTGTCCTGGTTATTTTACACACATGGCAGTCCTCCTGCCTCAGCCTCCTGAATGCCGAGGTGACAGGCATGTGCCACTATGACCGGTGTGATAGGTTTATATAATGAATTGGTTTCTATAGTTTACATCAGTTCCTCTGCCCTCTGTTCTTCATAAAAGTCGGCATCACAGATAGAAGCCTTGTTGATAGAGACCCACTTTACTAATGTTTATTTCTCTTGGAAAGAATACTTGATGGACAGAGGTGCCCGTGTCTGACTTTAGGAGGCACGTGCCTCCGTTTCCACACTTACCCTGATTTGAGAGGGCCCGGACACACACAGTCCCTGTCCCCTTCCCCGGACCCCTGCTGGAGTCCCGTGCGCATCTTCGGCCTGTGACTTCCCCTGCTCGTGAAGGGCCAGGGCTCGGCCTCCTCCATGGTGGAACAGCAGTGATTTTTCTCTGGACAGCCAACCCTTCCCTGGACGGTTTGGTGCAGACAGGCAGCGTCAATGCTTGCACACTTCCTGCCGTCTATTGTCCGTGAAAGGAGTGGGCGGACACCCTGGCCACTCCAGAGGCCTCAGAGAGGCCTGGCCTTCTCACTGTCCTTTCTTTGCCTCTGTCCTGGCCCCGTCCATGTCTCTCTGCACTCACTGTGCAGTTCCTGGCCCCTTCAGGACAGCTCCCGCATCTTCCCACATCCTGACCAGGATACCAACCTGATTCAGCCTCTCCTTGCCTGTGCTGGCAGAGGCCCAGGCCCTCCCTGACCTCCGTGGCACTTGGCACTTCTCTAAAAAGTCCCTGTCCCAGTTCCGAAGCAGTCATCAGGACTGTGTGGTCACTGCTCCTGGGCCTCTCAGGGGACAAAACTGGAAAACACATTTTCACATGGACAGATACAAATGAGGTCACACAGCTCACATTCAAAGTCACAGGAATTTTACTGCTTTGATTTGATATTATTCTGCTTTCTCTGAATATCTGGGTTCCTAAAAGTCTAACATTTGCTTGTTGTGTACTGATTTCGTGTGTGTTTCCACTCATGACAGGGGTTTTTGTTTTGTTACTATGATTATTATTATTATTATTATTGGGGGTGGTACCGGGAATTCAACTCACAACTCTCACTTGCAGGCAGGCACTTGTGCAGCTGAGCTTTGTCCCTGGCCCGTTTTTGTCCTTTCAAGACTGGATCTTTAAGAGAACCTATTCTCTGTGCTGATCTCTGTCCAGGGAGGTTTCTATGTGTAATCCCAAGGAGAAGTTGTTGGAATTCTAGTGAGTTAATTCCAATCTACCTCTTCCAGTGCAACCCCAGGCAAGAGTGATAGAGACACTAATGATAGAGGGGAAAGAAACTTCTGATCTACTAGATGCCCCCAGTAGAGATTTGTGTTCTCTAAAACTGAAAAATGAATTGTAGGCACAACAGAAGTAAAGAACAGGATATATTTATTGACAGAAAGCTTCTGTCTGACAGGGAGATAGAAGGGGTCCTCAGTGGGTGGCCGAGGACTCTGCCCTTTCCAGGGACTTTTGCAGAGCAAAACCATGAGGTGAGGTGGGTCCAGAGTGGGGAAAAAGGAACTTGCAAGGTGGGCATGCGGTGCGACAGACCTATGGTCAACTAATAAGATTATAATTACTCAGGTAAATTGATTAAATTGGGATCAAACTGATTAAGTTGGGATCACATGTAGCAAGGAGGTGTGAATGCAGAACAGTCTTTGCTGTCGAGGGGCTGGATTAATGACTCCTGGCTTTCTCAACATGATGGATGCCTATGTAGAATATCAGATCCTGAGGTTTATCTTCAGGGTGTGGCTGCATTTGTTGTGCCTTTTATCTTGGGATCTGGCCCACAGCAGAGGTGTGTGTCTCCTCCAGGGTTGCAAGGTATCTGGGCTTCGGCACTGGCTCCTTGGAGGACCCAACTCTGTCTGAGTGCCTATAGTATTTCTAAGTAATTAGGCTGCCTGTGACACTAAGGCATATATAGTTGTAGGGAGCTAAGGAGTCCTAAGTCCAGCCATGATGGTGATTCACTGAAACAAAAACCACACCCAGGGCCCAAAATGAGTTTTATGAATTCTCCATGAGGGGAGTGGCTTGGGGATGAGTGACAGAGAGAGTGGTGGGAAATATGTGACAGCCTGAGCTGGGCTAGACAGGAGATCTGAGATCACCTCTGCGATATGCAGAAGACAAGATATGCAGAGACAGCAATCTGCATAACACAACTGAGATAGTGTCTAATAATCTGGGATCAGTGCTTCAATTCTTTTGCCCTGGGAGGTCATAGCCTCTTTTTTGAGACTTGGTCCCAAGTCCCAGCTGACAGCATGGAGCATGCTCCATCTCGCCTGGCTCAATCGTGTATTTTGGGAGTCACTGGGAGAGGTGACACTGACCTGTTGCTTTGCTTTAAAGATGACATAGCAGCTCCTCAGCCAGCCCAATTCCTATTGCTTAAAGCCAGCTGGAGGAACAAAGAAATAACCCAGCCAGCTCTGTACATAGCAGTACACGGAGACAGGGTCAAGTTTACCCACAGTGGAGACAGCTATTCTTTTCAAGGAGAGTCATCTGGGTGGTTTTCCACAGGTATTGCTATGCAGTTCAGCCTGGCCTTGAGCTCAATTTGGAGCCCAAACTGGGCTCAAATTCCCAATGATCCTCCTGCCTCAGCTTCCGAGTGCTGGCTTGCAAGTGTGCGCCACCACACCTGGCTTCACGATAGTCTTTTAAAAAGCAATGCCAATGTTGGCAGGTACAGTCCCATGGGAGGGAGTTCAGGATTTCTTTGTGCTTCATTTTGTCTTTATTGTAGGTCTCATTAGTAACATGAGGGCCTTAACATCACCGGAAGTCTGTGGTTTAGAATGAGGTTCGTTAGCTTCTTATTTGTATTTAGAAACTACCTTGCTGATCAAGAAAAGATGGCAGATAGATAACAGCAGCTACAGAGGCTCTCTGAGATATCCAGCTTAGATTCCAGGAATGGTGCAGTGTGGGGAGTCCTAAGCAGAGGGAGATATACATTGCTGACCAAAGAATGAACTAAGCTGAGAGAAACCAATTGGAAATGCAGTCCCAGTGCTACAATTGGAACAGCTAAAATCTTGGTGCTGCCACCTGAACTCGTATATTGAACTTGCTGCCACTGCCGTGCCTGAATTGGCGCAGCCGGGATGGCCCACTAGTTTCAACTCACTGGAGACACAAACACTCTGAGAGCGGGAATTGGTGAACTGAATTGAGAGCAGAGCTGGCGGGGAGCCCTGCATCGACCTGAAGTGAGTGAGAGGAACAGGGACCCTTCCCTTGAGGCTCCAACACAGGACATTCTGGGACTGGGCAAACTGGCCAGAACAAGGTGCTATAATGACTTCAGTCAGATATTCCCTTCTCAAGTAGGATTGGTGGGGAGCACTTGACCTAGGTAACACCATGGACTGAGGCCCAATAGGCTAGCCCAAATCAAGTCCCTGTGCCTGGCAGTGCACCCTAATACAGTGAAGCTTTCAGATACTGCAGTGGGTGGGACCACCTAGTCAGCGCACCTCAGACATACTGAAACTGACAAAGAAAGAAACTAGGCCTCCTATATATGCCTGTATGGGAGGAACAAAAAAATATAAGAAGAGGAGGCAACAAGAAAGGGTCCTCAGTCCCCAATCCTGAGAACACTGATTCATGAAAGGTAAATGCAAAAGAGAATGAGGACAGAAAACATGCAGTATCAGACATGGCACCAATAGACATAAGTGATATTTTCTGGACCTCATAGATGAGTTTAAAAAGTGAAGTATTTAACAAGTAAAGCAAAATAGGATAATTAAATAAATGCTAAACACCTCCCAAGAAAAAACAGATGGTAGAATGAAAGAATAAAAAAAGGGGAGAACTATTTGATGGAGAAAATAGAGAAAACATAGAATACATGAAGCAGGTTCAAAGAGATTACCAGGAAACTAAAAACTCTATTGAAAGCTGGCATAACAGCTTGAAAGAAACTAAGGATAGATTATCTGAACTGAAGGACAGGTTTGTAATGTAGGAACAGGAAAGGAAAAACTTCTGAAAA